AATTAAAGATAACCCTGCTTGCTGCAGGGACATTGGACCAGAAGAAATTAAAAGGTGCTTTCCAACCCAAAGCATTCTATGGTTCTGTGATTAACCTCATCACCAAGTTGTTCCAAGTGGGCCTCTTAGACAAATGATGTAAATGGTGGCTTTGTGTACATGCAGAATATCTTCAGACAGCCCTCGTTTGCAGTTTATGGTTTACACATCCTAATTCAATCTGTCTGAAAAGTAAAAGGCTTGGAAATATTAGAGGCAAAAGGGGATATCTGAGGAGTTAATGCAAGCTGAGCATGCAGAATGATGGTCTGTGGATATGAACTAGCTTGTAGGGTCTGGTAGGAATGGTGGGATTGTTAGAGGTATCAGATTTTTATGAGGAGATTGAATACTGAATGATTGATGGAAAATTCCTTTATGGTGTGCTGGGACCTATCAAATTTCTCTGCCATCATTTCTTCTTCCTCTGGATCCTTGGTCCAGTAAAGAAGCTTCCCAGTGATAAAGGAAGAGGACATACAGTGAGGTGGGAAGTCTTAAAATCAAACACAGGTCATCCTGGAGCTCTGCTGGGAAGTGAGAATTGCTGTATGCCACAAGATAGCTGATACCATTCTAAAATTTTTCTTTTTTTATAAAGTCTCAAATGAACTATCCAAACTAATATAATTAAAATTTACAAACTCTTGACAGCTTTAATTATCACTTGAATTTTATAGTTGTGTAACATACAAATGTATTCACAGCACTATGCCAGGCAAGAAACCTAAACAGCACAGCAGCAAAGGTTATTTTTACAAGGAAAATTGATAAGGATATTGATAAGCATAACTGCTAATTGATAAAGTCAGAATAGACAAAACATAACTTTATAGAGGACTTCTGATTCTTTGGGACAGATGGATTAAATGCCTAATTAATAAAGGACTGATCTGAATCATATTCATAGAAATCTGTACAACTAATCTCTGCTCTAAGAATGGAACTAGAGATGAAGTACCTAAGATCAACAAAGAGCTTTCCACAAAAGTCTTGTCAAAAAAGACAGAAAAAATGTCACCTGGACTATCACAGGCCCAGCTCTTATGAGGAGCAGCTGAAGGAACTGGGGTTATTTAGTCTGAAGAAAAGGAGGCTCAGGGGAGACATCCTTGCTCTCTACAACTCCCTGAAAGGGGATTGGAGTCCAGTGGGTCTCGGTCTCTTCTCCCAAGTAACAAATGATAGGACAAGAGAGAAGGGCCTCAGGTTGCACCAGGGGAGGTTTAGATTGGAAATTAAGAAAAAATTTCTTCTCTGAAAGGGTTGTCAACCACTTGAACAGGCTGCCCAGGGAAGTGGCTGAATCACCATCCTTGGACATGTTTAGAAGTCATAGTGCTGAGGGACATGGTTTAGAAGTGGACTCGTTTAGAAGTGATATAGATGTAGTGCTGAGTGACGTGGCTTAGCAGTGGACTTGGTAGAGTTAGGTTAATAGTTGGACTTCTTGATCTTAAAGGTCTTTTCCAACCTAAATGATTCTATGATTCTTAATAATGAACCAAGAAGTGAGCAAAATGAAGGACTGGAGCAGTACTTTTTAAACCTAAACTGATAGCACAGTTCAGAGGAACCTGACATGTACTTGGATGGCCATGGCCTCTAGCAGTCTGAAAGCAGATTCTCCTGAGAATGGTCTTATCTTGAATGTAGCTATAGCCATTTCTAGAGTACCTTGTGTGCCCTCTGTCTGCTTTTGGAGAGTTTGAGGTAGAGTCCAACTCAGTCCTGAAGAGAAAGGAACACCACCAAAAGAAGTGATGCCAACACAACATTGGTTCACTCTGTTTTACTGGACCATACTTTGCTTCATTAGACCACAGTGCTGTGTTGATAATTCTGAGCTCAGAAACACCACTGAGTGAGGTAATAATGAGCTGTTAAATGGTGAGCAGGACTGAGATAATCTCAGCAATCACAGCAGACTACTCCTCAAAGGGAAGTCCAAAAAAAAGCACAGTTTGTGTATTCAGTTGATGGATCCAGCCCATCTTCAACGTTTTGGTGGCAGGTTTGTTCCAGACCAAAAGGATCAGAATCTGGACACTAAGACTAGGTCTGTAAATTCTCCTGGGCTCAAGGTAGCCCAGCTGGCATAGTGTGTTGGGTTTGCTCTATGTTCTTCCTTCCTACACTGATAATTTGCCTCATGTACAGCTACTCCATGATTTCCCATGGACAGGAAAGGGCTTGGTGTCCTCTGGACTAATTTAATCTCTCATTTCAACAAGTATGGAAGGAAAAAAAAAAACAACTAAGCATATAATGGAACTTGTTCCTTTTTTGTGTGTCACTCTTGAGACACTTTGAGATTTCTTTCAGAAGAGGCTGCTTCTCCATAGCTAAGTGCACAGCAAGTTTCTGAGTGTAATTGTCTCAACTATCAAATTATCATTATTAGTGTTTTAAATATTATTAGTGTTTAGAGGCAAAACTCTTCTATCACATAATTATTTCAAAATAGGAGGATTAGGAATAGTGCTCTTGAAAATGGAAATTTCAGGAAACACCAGCAAAGACATGTCAAACCTGCTGGGCCTGGGAGGAGCTGTTGCCTTTGATGCTAACCTGTTGATTCACCTTGCTCAAGGTCTGGCTTTTCATAACAAAACAAGTAGATTTTGTGTGCTTAAGGAGAGAGAACCAGGGTTGTGGTACTGATCTGTACCAGGGAAGAAAGGCAGCTCACACTCAGGACAAGAAATTCACAGAAGGCTTCTGACCCTGTGGAAAACCATAGGAGATGGCCAGCTTGGGTCCTGCATGTTACAATGCCCCAGCAACTCGTTCTGCTAGGAAAGCTCAGACAGAAGTTACACCATTCAGAGATGTTTTCCTTTTTGGACTGATTTTTTCAAGCAGTGATAACTGGGTGACATAGTTGACTGGACTGTTTTCTCTGGACAAAGTCCTGTGTTTGTGTATGAAGTTCAGATATTCTTGATATTGCCACTTGCACAGTTGCTTCTTCAATTCACTTTGAACCTATAGAAAAGGAATTTAAAAACAATGAGTCAGAAAATTAAGGTTTTGTGGACATTAAAGGTAAAATATGTCCAAAATGTCTACCTGGCTACTTAGCCCAGATGGAAAAGACACCAAAATCAGTCAGGATTAAACCTTAACACATTTTTAGGAGAATTTAAACTATATCCCTGTTTACTTTGGGAAAGAAACAAATCAAACACCCAGACTTAATTTCCAAAATTCAGAGGATGACAAGGATGTATTTCACTGCTGTATCTTTGTTTGTTATAGGTCTGCTTTGTATATATTCCTTTTTTTTTTGTCTGTAATTATGACTTTTCCTCATACTTAATCTTCTGTGTCTCCTTGGTGTGACCTGCTGCATGTAATAAGGGTCGTTCTCCAGGCTTTGGGTTTATCCAGATTGAAATCCATCTTAAAGATCCTTTAATGACTCTGAAAGATAATGAATCACCTTGAATACATATTACCTTTGAGAGAGGTCTTGAGGATCCTCAAAAGCATAGGCAAAATTGATATTTTTTTATCATCCACAGCCTACAATTGAGACTACTGGGACTTGGGTGAGGGGACAGGAGACAAGTAGATTTTCTTGCCCTACACAGAGCAACTCAAAGCTATAGCAGATGGAGTGTAAGTGGGTACAGGAACCACCCAGTCCTTGCCACCATAGGCATGAACAGTCGTCTTCTGTGGATAAACTGCTCACTGTGCCCTGTTACCTCTGTTCTTACTCAACTTCATCTCAATCTGCTTCTCCTGCAAGGGAGGTGGCTCTCCTGAATGCATGAACTAGAATGAGCTCCATATATATATATATGAACTGGCACCATTAGCACAAACCACTCCCAACTAAAGGCAGAAATAAACTGTTGAGTGAAACTATGAATTCTTCCAGAGGATGTATGTATGGGAAAACATGACTGAAGTCCTCTGAACTTAGGAAATAATTCTTATTTTTTATGATTACAGGGAACCATAAGAAATGGCTGACAAATCTGCTCCAGAAGGAGTTTTTCATAAGCAGCATGGACACAGGCCAACATATACCACTTAATCTTAGGGCCAGAGAACCCTTCTCTGCCTGTCCCTCTTTTACCACCTAGTAGTAGTGTTGTGAGACACATACAAGCTCTTTAAAGGCTGTTGGCAATGACACTGCAGAAAGAAGGCAGGTGGAAAATAGGTTCTGTATCTCTAGTTAGTTTTGAAGACACTGTCTCAAAACACCACTAGAATGCCATTATAAATTGTTTTCCTAAGTAACAAACATATTTTAGGCATTATTCATCCTTAGGTAGGATTAATTTCACCTAAATTTAGACATCCCTAGGAGAAGTGTCCAGTCTAAGCTTGTGGAGAGACTGAAGCACCGTTAGTGGATCATTCTTCTTATTTAATCTGCACATTTTTCTGAGGATGAGACTTTTTTTTTTTTTTTACATTTTCTAATGGTTTGGATTCACTCTGCTCTTCTGGGGGAAGTGCAGGCAAATTTAGTTGGGTTTTAAAATTATAGGCTCTCTAAAGTTTACTACAGAAAATTTATCCAAACTCTAACAATGTTATAAAACCAAGAAAGAAAGTGTTTGAACAAAAGTATGGAAAATGCACAGGCTGCCAGGACAAAAGGGGAAAACCAAGGGGGAAAATTCACCAACAGTAAATAAACCTAAAGAAAGTAATGAGTGTTATAAGCTTTCCATTGAGACATCATCATGATAACTATCAAACGTAAAGCAGAAAAAAAATGTCCCTTGACACGAAAGTCTCCAGCTATTTGTAAAAGGTCATGCCTCAAAGCTTATTTTGTGTCCTTCAGTCAGAATTGTATGAATACTAAAGCAACAAAGGTACAAGGGGGGAAAAAGAAGACATGGGTATTTCATGCTCTCAGGAGCAGATCAAAGCATGGCTCTGCTCTGGAAATAGGAAAAAAAAAACCCTTAATAACAAGAAATGCCCATGAGTTTAAAAGGTTTTAATAATCTTATGTACTTACTACTCACCTCTGCATTTGAGAAGCAATAGAGAAGAGCGACAACAAAACCCTAGGGTGGGGAGGGCAGAGAGAAAAAAGCCAGCCATCAGGATTTGCAGCATAGAATCAGAGAAAGACACCAGCTTTTGTTCAAAATTCGGGTGAGACAACAGAAAATACATGTTCTCCATTGTTCCCTTGGAATTTAGGTGATGTGGCACCTACATTTGTGGGGTTTTAATAATAGGATTAAATTCCTCAATGGGCAGGCAACACTAGCATTATTATTGCCCTCATGTGGGGACACTAAGAACTAACTTAGTGTTTACTGTACCCTACAAAGAAGTCCTCCCTCAGATAGAATAGTAGGGACACCTGTCTTATTTCTATTCTGTATTTACAGTAACAAATAAACTGGATGAGGAGGTGCTCTTGGTTTATGTCTTTATACAAAAGGATGGCTGTGTTTGGTCAACAACCTCTGGGGAAAGGTCTTCAGCTCAGCCCAAAAAGGCATCATAGAGAGGAAGGTGTTGGTCTCTTTTCACAGGTCACCAGTGATAGAATCAGAGGGAATGGCCTTGATCTGCCCCAGGGGAGGTTTAGACTGGACATTAGGAAGAACTTTTTCACTGAAAGGTAGTGGAACCTACTGCTCAGGTAGGTGGTGGAGTCGTCATCCCTGGGTGTTTAAAAGCTGTGTAGATGTGGTGCTTGGGGATATGGCTTAGAGAAGGATTTGGTAGATATGGTAGAGTAGGCTTAATGGTAGGACTTGATGATCTTAAAGGTCTTTTCCAAACAAAGTGATTCTATATTCACCCAGGGCTACAGTCAGGCATTGTTAGTAAAATGAACAAGGCACAGCTCTGAAGCCTTTGCTTCTCTGTGTTAAGATGTCAACAGAGTCCCTCACAGAGCTTTTGGGCCAGCAAATATTTTGACAGAGTCTGGCCATGGTTGAGAGGTAAATGTGGAAGAGGGATCATTTTCAGCACATATCAACATGGACCAACTGTGATGGGATACAGGGGAAAGAGGAAGGAAAAAGACTTCAGCTGTTTATTACAAAGTGTTCCGTACTCTAGCCCTGGCTCTCAAATCCAAAATATTTTTCTGAACAGTGGTATGACAAAATAAAAGAAGCAAAGAAATATTAACATGATGGATTCACTGTATTATCCTTATAATATTTTATATTATCCTTATTTTATCTACTTTATCCTTATTTTTTTTAATTCTTCTTATCATCACCTTTATTATATGTGGAATTAGTTTCAATCAGTTCACCTTAATCCATAAACTGATCTGCATGGCACTCTGTTATTCAGAAGGGTAGATAATGGGTGTTTTCTGATTATTAATAAGAAGTCTGACTCAGAACTCAAAAGTGGTATGATATTTCATATAATAAGGTAAGGAAAAAACAACAGAGCTTGCAAAGGAGTGAGACAGAATGTGTGTGCTGAATTTAGACACAAAATTAGCACCTGTTCTAATAACCAGCCTAAAAAGTAAAACTCCTGAGAGCGTGATGCTTCAAACCAAACCTCTTAGGAATGATAAACATTTTGTCCAGCTTACCTGAAAAGAACCCAAGCCCAGCTCAATATACAGGCGAGCTTCCAGACCAGTGCTTTCTGGGAAGAATGCAAAGACCACATAGTGCACTCCAAAGAGAGGGATTAAGAGTAATGTGGATTTAGCAAGTCTCCTGGGAAAGCAAGAATTAAAGAACAATGAGTTGTTAGAAACATGGAATTAGTGATGGCAAGTATATGTGGGGACAATTTTTAATACAGAGGACAGCTCCATAATGGAAGAAACTACAACAAAGTTATAGAAAGATTATAGCTACATATCTTAGGATGAGTTAAATAACTCACTAGAGTCCTTTAACTGTGTTGATGAGTTCTCCTTTGATTGTGAAGGGGATCAAAAAAAGAAAGGGCTAGGTTCAGTGACCAGAATATGTCCATCATGTTCCTGCTAAGGATTTGAAGGGAATAATCTACATGATTAGATTATCTGATTTTCAGTGTTTAACCTTTCAAGCTGGGTCCTTCCAGAGCTGTAATAATTGATATTTTACTTTTCTCATTGTCCCCCACACATCCACCTGCCCTTCTCCCTCTGAAGCAAAAGAGAATCTTGATGATGGGATGAAAAAGGAAGTTTACATTATTTCTTCTGGGAATTTCTTATTCTGTTAGTAAGGAGTAGAACATTTTGTGCTCCTGCCCATAAAATGTTTCTTATAGCAGCTAGAACGGGTCAATATCGAAAGACCCAGAAATACTTACACAAAGTGGCTTGAATGGCTCCCTCCTCCCTCTTGAGACCTCAATTTATGGACTAGAATTCTGATCACATTAATAAATATAATAAAGTTAATCTGAAAAAGATAGGACAAAATCTGTAAACACTACAAATCAGGACATATCTTCGTTTGATAAAAACATAACTAAAAATCCCCAGTCATAGGAGTTGCCTTGCTACAATCCAGTGCAGGTCTGCTCTCAGATCAAATCAATAGCAGTAGAAATAGTATTCATTTTTTTTCACTCTTCAATATATGCTTATACATAAAGCTATGCTGAAAGTTATGTTGAATTAATATAGACCTACGTATCTCAATATTGGTTTATGTCTGATATTAACTGCTTGTACTTGTCAGCACCTAGAAGATCTTATATGGTCTAAATAGTCTCCCCTGTTCCCTTTACTGCTTAGGACAGGGATTGCAACAGATACAGAACTAAATGACATCCTGTTCCCCCCCTAAATTCAGATGGAATAAATGTGGACATAAGGGAGATTTTTTTTGGTTTCTTTCAAGTTCACAGCCTGAGAACTCATTTTAAAAATATACCAAATAAAATGATGTATATGCATTTCTTCTATTAAATCAGCTTCATATTATCTAAAACCCTTGCCAGTCTGGACTGCCTTTCTTTAGAAATGACTTAGAGGGCCCCAGACATGACTGTGGTACGTGGAATGCAGGTGTCAAGATGGTTCCATTATGTCTTAACATGAGTCTAGAAAATATAGGATCTACCCTTTAGATGGTGATTTAGAGTCTGGGGTTTTTTTTTGGGAGGGAAACCCAAGAAAAACAAAACTAACAACAAAACCACATCCTATACAATAATTTCCAGTTATTTGAAATTCAGTACTATAGCATGTGCCATCTCTTGTCTCCCAGCTTACTGAGACACTAGCTTCTCTTTCACATGTCAAAAGATACTCAAGACAAAAAGAAAAAACATACTAATACAGTTAGCAGAATGGGGCCTTTGATGATCCATAACACCACTCCATCTTCATCATCATCCCAACACCTGAAACAGGAAACAAACCCAGTCATGTCATAGGTCCCTTGTGAGTTTTCCACAACACGTGGAAACATTTGTAATTTCAGGCTTCTCTCCTGCTCTGCTGTTGGAAAAGTGACTGTTTTAGAGATTAGAGAATAAACTAGTGTGCATCCATAGATGTAATGACTTTGGGATCATGAGGAAATCGGCAAGAAACAAGTTCTGACTTACCCAGTATTTTGTTGGTGGATTCTTGCGATGATCCAAACAAACATCACAGCAGTGGGAGCTCCTGGACAAATCAACAAGCAACAACATAATTGTTTTGAATACTATCCCCCCATGGAAACTTTATTCTGAGGAAGTTCACAGTGCAGTAGATTGGATGTAAATTAAAGATCAAACAATGGGTCAGACAATTTTAAAGAACTTTATGAAAGAAATTATCTTGCAATTTGGGGAAAGAAAAGAAAAAAGAAAAGGGCAGGAGTATGAAATAAAAGTGAAGGAGAATAGGGGATGCTGAGAAACTATGTTTTCAAAAATAACAGTTAATTATTACTTGAAGGTTTGGATATGAATTATTAGCACTTGTGAAGCTGGAGGAATCACTTGTTTAGCTGGAGCTCTTTCATTTTGTGAATTGTGGTCAGCATACAACTTTTTGTACACTAGCTAGACTAGTTCACATGGTTGTCCTGAGGAGCTTCTGCTAATTACTCTAGACCCATCAGCTGATGAGACACCATGAAAATTTAGCTGCATCAAGGTACTGGTGATTTCTAGCCTGACTTTATCACTGCTTATCCTTCTACATTTATGACTGAATAGTTATTTCCTTTCTTTTCCCCAAGCAGGTCTATAAACTAACAATTCCTTTTTCTCTCCTTCTGTGGAATTGAATTTCTAAAGATTAAGAGACTTTCAAAGCTGCCTCAAAAGGGACTCTGATCTGAAGCAGGTGACATTTTCACTGATAAATCTATTGAAATATAGCTAATATCTTTCTGAGTATCATTTGAGGTCTGTAGGAAAGGCCCAGAAATTGTCCTTAATTTTAGACCTTTGTTCCAGGCCTTTAAACTGGGACCATATTGAGTTCAAGTTGTCTTTTTAACTAATTAAGATAAATATTTTCATTAATATCATCTAAGAACTGAGTTGCCCCTGAGATGTGTCTCATTTTCCATGGATTATAGAAGGAGATGAGGATTACTAGATTGTAAATTGAAGTGTTGCCTTTGTTATCTCCAGTTAGATGCAATTGATCGAGGTCTAAGGGTCTAGTTTCAAGCAATGGTTGCTCCAAATCAGCAGCCTCTTTAGAAAATTCAGACTTTTAAAATTTAATTATGTTGAAAATGTCTGAGACCCTGAAGGTGAAGGTAAAATTACTATTTACTTCAAGAGATTTTCAATTTCAATCCTAAGCCAAAAATGTGAATGTTAATGACTTATTTCGGTACCTTTATTTTAGAATAGCCAAGGTGAGGTACAAGAATATCTGAGAGTCACAATAAACAATTCTCTGGAGTGAAAGAAATTTTATGTATTACATGCATCTATTATGACAGAGATACTTTTAATTGCTGTATAAACATTCCTTAAAGCCATAAGGTCTCTGGAACAACAACAACAAAAATGATTCCTAGTTCTCAGCTCACATGATTTGAGATTAATCTGTCTAATTCTGCTTACTAAATGAAAAATGTCAACTTAAAGTTAGTCACCCAAAATACTTTAGTCAGTGGGGAAAGGCAACAACTTTCCAGATTGTTATACAGCCACATTACTCATCTTCTTGAGGACTGGATTTATCTCCACCACAGCATGCATACCTCACTCTACTGACTGCAGGAGAAACCTGGAGAGATGGTTTAGATTAGATAGCTGACTTTTGAATTACTCTGGTTGCATGAAATTAATTCCAGTCATAAAGATGAGTGCTTCAGTCTTCCAAGTAGACTTATTGTAGTGCATCCAGTAATCCAGCCTATCCTCTCCTTCAAAGTTTTGAACAGTTAGATAACTAACAACAGGAGAAACCATAATAATGGTATGGTTTTGATGTGGTAGTGCTGGATGAACAGGCAAATTTCACATGAAAAGTGGCACCTTTGATAGGCACCTTATGTCTCGGAACAAATATTTTATCTGCTTCTGAAAGTAAATGGAAATATTAAACAAAACAAAGAGGAAAGGAGTACTAACCCCAGCCAGTAAATATGAACCACCATACATACTGCTTGTCTGAAACAAAGGTCAGCAGAAGCAGTGTTTGTAGGTATATCCCTTCTATGAGAAGCCAGAAGAAGTTGGCTAAAATACTGAACTGGAAGAATGCCACAGCAGCCTTACAAGCAACCTAAAAATACACAGGAAGAAAAACAAAACCCTATTAGATCTATTTTCCATTGTATTTGGGGTTTTTTTCAACCATGATAGGCAAAAAATAATGTTATCACACAAAAATGAAGAATTTATTACAAGATTTCAATAAGCCTGAGATTCCATCATTTCAATTGACTTAAGTTTTTGTTTTTTTTTTAAATAAAACATTGAAGATCTATTCTCCATTGTGTTTGGTTTTTTTTTTTTTTCAACCATTATAGGCAAAAAATAATGTTATCACACAAAAATGAAGAATTTATTACAAGATTTCAATAAGCCTGAGATTCCATCATTTCAATTGACTTAAGTTTTTGTTTTTTTTTTAAATAAAACATTGACCCTTTCTTATAGATGAAATTCTTCACTGATAGAAATTGTTACAGCTTCATGAGTTGACAGACCTGTACCTAATATATCAAAGCTGAATGCAGCCATAGCATTTGGTCTTTGGGTTTGTGTAGTATTGTTTATTTAGAGATTTGAGCTCTAGCAAACTAAAGAGAACTGGGATTAAGAAATCTCTGTGTTCTCTTCAGGTCAAGAATCAAATGTCAAATCAAGGAGAAGAGAGAGGGGAAGTTTAGTACCGTTGACATGAGACAGTGGTCCATAGTTTCATCTGCAAACAAAACAGCATCTTTGGTGAAAACAGCAATGGCTCTCAGGATAAAGGAGACAAAGAGGTGCATGTGGATGTAATTCCGTGTACAGTGGAATTTTCTGGCATGGAAAGAGAAAAAGAAAAGTCTTCCTTCAGGGAAAAAAATTCTCAAGGTCTCATCAGAACTCAGAGAGGAATACAGAGTGACTTCAGACACTTTCCAAAGCAAATAAATGATCTGTCACTATTTGAGAAGGAAATAGACACAAAGGAGCAGAGCAGTTATTATCTGCTTAAGCTAATAAAAGGGCTGGTATAATTGTCTTTGAATTACCACTTATTTAAAGGTGTTGCCAGAAGCAGAGAGTAATTCTGAGACTCATGGGCTGTATTGCAATAATGCCTTTTAATTATTCTAAATAGCACTTTTTGTTGAACAAGCTTGCAAATAGGCTCTTCAGCCCCTTTCTGGCCAGAGGAGAGCAGAATATTGAGTGAGTGTCCATGCCATGTTGTGAGATGGCTACTAGAGAAGTAGCTGCCTTAGCCCACACTTCATTTCCCCAGAATGCTCTGTCCGTGACTTGACCTTGAGCTGAAGGAATCTCCTTAAAGGTTTGGATATATCTGCTGCTTGGTCCTGGGTGTCTCTATAAGTGATATGACCTTTAAGATTGCAAACACACTCCAGTTAAAGCAGCTCTGCACTGCTGTCTGCAGAGCAAGCTTAAGACTTTGGTCCAAATACATTGGATGAAAACCAGGATCCATTTCTTATTATCCAACATCATCAAACATGACATTTACATTTCTTTAAATCTCTTTCTATAGCTCCAAGTTATGGAAGAAATGGTCTTTCACAGATGGAATGGACAGTTTAGAATTACTGCTGGTTTGGTGGCACAAGACACTTGGTTTCTGCAGAGTGTCCTGCTGTGCACTGGGGGAATATTTATCTTATTTTAATAGTAACAACAGACTGGAGCATTTCCACTGTGTGCTGTCATTAAAGAGACTAAGACACACTTCCCAGTCAACTTTCTTGTTTTAACATCTGCAGTGCTGCTCTACAGCATAAATAGAGAAGGTCCCACTGCCATCAACAGTGTTATAGTTGAGAAGAATTTGAAAATAATAGCAAAAAAAAATCCCACAAAATAAAAACACATAGGGTTTGGGAGGTATTAGGATGAGCCTGTCTTAAGACATCCTGAAAAAGAGACCATTCTTTTTTTACCTGAAGGCAGCAAAGACAATTAGAGCTGTAATGAGTGAAGTCACTGATGCTGCATAGCCAGCAGTGTAGACACGCCAAAATGCAGAATAATATGATTTCTATGAGAAAAAGAGAACACAGACCAATGCTGGTGGTTATGCAGCATGCATGCTGGTGAGCTTATTTCTCTGAGATACATCTTCCCCTACTAGGCAGTCCCATCAGCTATGCACTCCATCCCTTGCTTCAGGTTTTCCCCTCTATCATTAACACAGCTTCTATTCTTTTGAACCCTCCTTAACCTTACACATGAGAAGTTTCACCACCCACAGGCTCATCTGTAGGAATGACCCATTTGAGCATGTTCAATGAGAAAATGTTAACTTGGTTAAGTAAATGTATTTCCTCCTAAAAGTACAGAAAGACTCTAAGGCACTGAAACCTGCTGATGGGTAATTTGTGAATCTATCACTTTATATCTGAATCAGATTTGATAAGTATTGGATTTCATCAACAACTATAGCCAAAAGAGAAATAAAACTTGCATTTTGCAGGTGAGGAAACTGGAACACTGTGAAACAGTCACCTCATGTTGTGGAGATAAAAAGTTCAAGTCGAGTAAATAACCTTAAAGTCTTTAATTCTTTGGACAAACTGTTCATTCAGTCACCATATACTGTAGCAATGTAAATTCTTATAGTTCATATGTTTGTTTTGCATTTAAATATCTAATGTCCTAAGAAAAATGAAGTACAGTTACATTGCTTTATCTATTGCCTATTCTGATTCACTACAAGATTACCTAATTATTGAAAGTCTCAATAAACTAAATTCTCTGAATCCAGGCAAATTTCCTCCTTGCAACTGTTATTGACACTTTGCTCCTTAATTGATCCTTTATCCAAAAGGCAACAATTCTAGGTTGAGACAACCAGTTAGGAATTTTAAGTAGATACATAAATCATTCAACTTGTTATTGAAACTTTGCTCCTTAATTGATCCAAATTCTGTTTATCCAGAAGGCAACAATTCTAGGTTGAGACAACCAGTTAGGAATTTTAAGTAGATACATAAATCATTCAACTCTGACAACCTAGGAATCATCCTGGGGTTTCTGAAACAGTCCTAATCTTTTACAGAGTATTTTCAAAACACAGATGAAAAGCAGAAAACAGGTGATTCAAATGAACAATTAAGTATTTCAGTGAGACAACCAATTAGGAATTTGAAGTAGATCCATAAAAAAATCATTCAACCCTGACAACCTAGGAATCATCCTGGGGTTTCTGAAACAGTCCTAATCTTTTACAGAGTATTTTCAAAACACAGATGAAAAGCAGAAAACAGGTGATTCAAATGAACAATGAAGTATTTCAGTGTATTTTATCTGTTTTTTAGGGTAGCTAAACCACCAACGCTTTATGCAGAAGACCTCATAAGTCCTCACTGCAGATACAAAAGACAAAACAAGTGGTTTTCTTAGAATTTAAGTGAGATTCTTCTTACTTCCCTGTGTTTACAAAGCAGGAGACCTTACTGATCTTACCTTCCTTTAACAGACTTTGTGCATTTGACTGGAATAACAAACTAAACACAGCATCAGCACAGACATGAGCTCTGCCCTGAAATCTTCCATAAATTTAAAATTCAAATGTAAACATAGCCCTTGTTTGATTTCAGCCTAGGCCAGCTTAACACAGGCCTGGAACTGCTTGGAGAAAGCCACCCTAGAGAGTAGGAGAATTTAGCTCTGTGAGTAAAAGCCATGCCCTGGCGACTGGCCCCAGGGCTGGAGACCTGTGCTCCATACATGCCACCTTAGTAGTCTGACATCCCTTCTGAACTGTTTGAATGGTTTCAAACATCTTTTCAGGAGTTCTTTCAGCTTTTCTCTTTCTAGCTTCCCCACAGTGTTAAAAAAAAGTATAAATATTCTTGGTTTATAGGTGGGGAATTTAGCTTGAGGTATTGCTACTGCCTTTTATAGCTGTACTTGGCTTTCTAAGTTCATGGAGCCAGATGGCTGAAGCCAATTGTGTCTACACTTCCTAAAGATTTGCTACCTGAACTAGTACTTTTGTGCTTGAGCTTGCATGGCTGGCCAACCAAAAGTGTTACTCTAGATAACACCCAGAGTGCTAGTGATAAGAACACTTCTGTGGTTTACCTTGCCACAAATGACCTTACTGCACACTCACAACGAGCTAAATGAATTAGTCTTTTCTTTCATAGATTGGAAAGAGTCCATTGCCTCTATCAAAGTACCACAGTGGAAGGAGGAGGCAGTGGTAGACCCCATCTTGCATTTGAGTAAGATTCATGAGCCTTGCCCTGGAGATGAGGGGATGGAGACGTCCCAGTTCTATCTTGCTGGAACTATCCCATTTAGCAGAGGTCAGAACTCAACAGGCAGAGGCTGTGAGCACATCTCTGTAAACCAACCACCTTCAGCCATGAGGCAAAGTTCACCACTGAGGAACCACCACTATCAATGAAGTGTATTTGGCCCCGGGATAGGAATGCCTCACAGTGATGAGGAACATGTAAATTAAAATCAAATTAAGATGTGGATGAAAAAGACATGCTGAATACCAATAATTATCATCACATAGGAAAAAGAGAGGTTCACTTCCTACTCCCCTGAACACCTAAGATAAGGTTTGGAAACATTCAAGGGCATCCAAGAGTTCCCTCCTAAATATTAGCATTGATTAAGTTATAGAATCTTCTTCTCTAACTCAAAGAAAATCTTGGGGAGGAAAAAAAAAAATCAATAGGAGGGATCCAAATAAATTTTCCCTGAAAAATTTGCCCCAGACAGTTGGGTAGGACTTCCCTGGGAGATGAGGATTCAAGTCTCCTTTGTTAGAGAACCAAAGTCTTTGTTAGGCAGGACAGGTGAACTAATCATGAGCCTACTCATTAACAATGAGAGCAGAAGATTGGAAGTACTACCTGCTACTCCTAGTAGTTAGTACTACATACTAACCCTAATTTGTAAACGGGCTCCAAATATACCTAAAACCTTTGAGTTTAGTACTGAAGACAGGTTATTACTTGATTCTGACAGGGCTCAGATGTTTGGGAGCACCCAACTACTCAACGTCCTCAGGATAGGGTGCCCTGGAGATGTCCACAAGCAGGTTATAAAGTCTCACCTGATCCTCAGGTCCTTTACTGGAGTTTTCATCAAATCCACAGGCAACGGTGTATGGTGGGAATGGTTCTGACCAATATGCCTCCTGTGTACAGTTTCTCTGAAGGAAGCCTTTAATGGTAAAATACATCAGAGAATGAATGGTAGCGAGAAGGGATGTTCTTTAAGGTTTGATGAGAAACAATAGTTATTTTCCTCCTTTGATTCTTAAATTGGACACTTGAGGTCTAGTTGTGTTCAACAGGATTAGAGTTATAATATTCTATGCATCTATAATCTGAAAAGTTGAGATATGTTCCCATTCATTTCAAGATGCAAGGGGTCTTCTACACTTCATATAGACAAAAATTCTGCAAATTCATCCTTACACAAAATTAAAATCAAATTTTTATGCAATCTATCTTAAACTAACTTCATTTGTGCTTCTTGACAAAGTCTTGAGCCACCTGATCTGGCTTTGACCTTAGGTATAATTTTTGAATGTGGTCCTGCTCTGACTGAAGGATTGATCTAGATGATCTCAAGAGTTCATTTCTAACATTAATTATTCTATGACTTTATAAATCAATGATTCTATGACATACATATATTTCTTTATAACCCTAGAAACACAGTGCAATTACTTATATTTTGTAGACCATATTTTTTAGAATTTTTAGACCAAAATTCTAAAAAGAAATTTAGATTTTTTTTCTTTTGTCTAATCTCCAAAGAGATTAGACAATTAAGGATAGCATAAAACAGAGCAGTGACAAATATCAACCATAAGACAAGTTGTGTATCTGGATAAATACTAAACAGACAGAAGACAGAGTTGTGAATCAGGAAAATATGCAAATTAATGATTCTTTAACTATTAGAACTTATTAAAGAAAATATGTAAAGATAAAAAGAATAAGGAAAAGGTCTTGCCATGGATATTTGTGATTTCTTCAAAAAATCTTGGACAGGGAACTTGAACCACCTCCCCAAAAGTGGCTCTGGGCCAGCAGGTTAGACCATCCCAATCTCTGGCACATCCTGGAAAACAAAACTGTCTGTAAGTAAAGGAAAACACACAGAACATCACACAGATGATCTTCCATAATGAGACTGTGGTTTTCCCACTAATTCATGTTCAAGAAGAGCTACAACAGGGCATGCAGCTCTGCAAATGAGGGATTGTATTGTTTTCCTCTTCTCATTGAATGTATCATTGCTCACACATGTACTTGGCATTCCAGCTGGACCTTCCCCCACCTTATCTCAAGAGGCAATTACCTGAAAATCAAGCAGACACACTCTAAAAGTCAAATCAATTGGAGTTATTGTCAAAACAAAAGTCATCAAAATCAAAATTTTAAATAATTATTAGAAGTTGAGGTTTCTCATTGCTGCTTTCAGTCTAACTGAAAAACATCAGACTTATAAATTCAGCTTTAGTCTCTTATCTATGCTTAAAGTCTATGAAGTTCATAGAATCTTTTAGGTTAGAGAAG